AAATGATGCAGTTATACAATAATGCACGCCATCCCAGTACAAACCATTTTAGAGGACTTGGAGACTGTTTGTCTGAAATCCAACCACAGACCAAAGTAATATGAGTAGCAACAAAGGGGTCCAGGGGCACAACTCACCACAGTTCAATGGGTCAAAGTAGTAAATAAAACGTTCAACCGGGTTTGGGACAAGTCTCGTTCCGAGTATCCTTGTGGTTCGGGCTACTGAAATAAAAGCTTCGAACAGCCATATAAGCGAACCTACATGTAACATTGCCATGTAGGTTAAACTGATGAGTCAATTTCCAGAGGCACGAAACCTCAAATAAAACCAGGCTCTAAGAATGGGGAGTCGGAAAGTCACACCTGCCAACTAGACTACGTCGACAATACTTCCCCTTCCTCTTCTTGCGTTTATGTCCCCTCTCCAGTATCTTCTCTGAATCTTGAGCAAGAAACCGCCGCTGACTTCGATATGGCGGCCACCGATACCCGATACACGTTCAACATAACACCTGTCTCCTTCCACATAAGTTCTAACAACGTCCGTACTCAAAGGCAGATACCACAGCCTGCAGCGCAAACACTACCTGTTCACCATCTTGACAATGAAGTGAGCTGTTTCTTCGAAACAACCATACAAGACAAGAGCGTTAAAAGAATAGCTTGACTCAACAGATTCGAAATTAACGAAGGTGACAACATACATTGCGGACAAGATGCTATGGAGTCAATAGCTAAAGGTATTAAAGGTGTTGCCATCGACCACAGCACACAAATAAGAGATAGTCCACTTGAGTTGAAATCGGAAAACAACCACAGGAGTGCGCTTCAACTTCGAACTTCTACTGGGGTTAATAAGCACCGTATGAATACAAGGTGCCTTTCCATCGCATCCGCATACGCTGCTGCTGAAGGCAGTACGAATGGTAACCAAGACGATTTCTATCCCTATCTTTCATCTCTTCGCATGCCGAAGAATACTAACATCATGTTTGTTTCTGGTGACATGAATGCCCAAGTGGGTCATTGTCCAGATTCTGAACAACATTTAGAGGGCACATCCGGGGTTGATGCACGCTGAACAGACATTGGTGATCGATTCCTGCGATTGTGCGCCGATCACAATATCTTTATAATAGCAGCATTGTTCTCTAGCACAAACAATCACACCGCTTCACCTAGTGCCCACCGAATTCCCCGATGACCTGGACCTAAACTGGCAGTATTGCTACAGATGGCGCATATCAACCCAAGACTGTCAGCCAATTTGGAGCATGTGCCTGGATTCCGAGCACGCCCTAGTACGCACACGCTTAGAACTCGCCCCTCCTACTTCAAACAAGCGCGTATCTTCTAATACCACCTGTACCTTGAACCTGTAGTTTACAATTAAACAATATTATGACGAACTGGCACACCAAAAAAACAGTGTGGAACGAGGTTGGTGAGCCGAACGCTGACTGGGATCGTTTCAAATGTGCCATGAAGAATGATTTCGACGCCTGCTGTTTACCCGACTTGAGAAGTCGTAACTGTAGATGGATCTCTGAGGCGTGAATCGGTTTGATCGAAGCACGGAAACGGGTTCCGATGGGCATTGAGTTTCAGCGTGTCCGTAACTCCCTGAAACGACATCTGACACTGGGTCTTTGTGGATGGCAAAGGCCCGTGAGGTGGACAAAGCAAGTGCTATTGGGAGCAGCCGAGTGCTAACTTAGCTCATCCGAACACGGGTCCGAGAAAGCCATCAATCAGTTAGCGGGAAGATAGCTGAGATCAACAGATAGTTGATCCATTCTCAGCATCGTCTAATAGCCCGATGGGTGAAACATTTTGAAGAGCAGTATAGCAGGCATGCTGCGACACTGCACCTTGCCGAATTACCTGAGCCTGCGTGGGAAATTGATATCACACATCCCACTTCGGAAGAGACTCGACATGCGTTCGTTTTGTTGAAACGAAACAAGGTTCCTGGACCCGTCGACCTTCATCTATCTCAGTGAAAAGATGGAGGTGACTCTGTTGATTGGACTCGCTACCCTTTTTAACACGATTTAAAAAACTGAAGAAGTGCCTTCAGATTGCCGAATATTAAATGTCGTGTCCATCTTAAAGAAGGGCCAGCGCTCTTTGTGCGAAAATCACCGAGACACTAGCCATATTTCTTTTGCCCCCAAACATCTAAAGTGTATCATTTTCCGACCACTTACTGGTCCTCGTGAGAATCGAATCACTGAAAGCCCTGCTCATGGTTGCAGCATCCATATATTAACTTTTCGCCAATTTTCAGGGCAGAGATACACCTTCAGATGACCGACTATGGTGATTTTCGACAGGAAAATTGTCCTCGACTCTGTTGACCACGTTAGTTTGTGCCACTGCCGATCCATAAAGGATGTGAGGAAAAGAATGCATTCTTTTATGCCATCTCTACCGTGACTCCGGAGGCCGTGTAAAGATCTACGGCAGACCGTCTCGCGAATTCCCCACGACAAATGCGGTTCGTCAGCGTTGTCCTATATCTCCTTCCCTTTTCAGTTTTATGCTCGACATGATCATGAACCAGCCTGTATATTCAATCTATTCCGGAACGGATTTTCTGCCAGGTGATCGACTAATACAGCTGTATTATGCGGACGACATAATTCTCCGTGGTTTGCACGCATTTGCTATACAAACACTAATTTATAGAGGGAACCGTAGCACTTCACACTTCGGCATGTGTTTTGCACCTTTAAAGTGCAGTGCTGTTATAGGACTGGATCGGCACATCTCCGATTTCAGCTATTTCCGAACAACCACTGAAAGTAATGGATCGGTTCACTTACCTTGGTAGCTGTGTTATCTCTGGCAGTCACATCACGGCGGGATATCACCTGTCAGTGAAAGTTAAGGTGTATAAAGCTGCAGTAAGCCCGGCCTTACTGTTTGGATCAGAGACCTGGTCAGTTCGCAGTGAAGACACTAAACGCTTGGCCGTGTTTAACCACCAATGCTTGCGGAGTATCGCTCATATCTGGTGGGAACATCGAGTAAGCAATGTTGAGGTCCGCCAGTTGCTTTTCGCAAGAAGCCTTCTGGTGTCTGACTCGAGTGTCTACTAAATCTTAAGCGCCTACGTTGGCTACGTCATGTCCTCTGTATGCCCGTTGACCGGCTTCCTCTGAGTGTGTTATACGTCGCGGCTGCGCCAGCTTGCGCGAAATCGCAGTGTCCAGTCCATGACGTTGCACAGAGGCATGAAGAAATTGACTGATGGATTTGGTCAGGCTGGTGCGTGCCACCTTCGAGCATGAGGCCTCAGGTTGGTCCATACTAATGGTTGGAGACCCTATCGGATATGTCACAGTTACGCAGTCAGTAGTGTTCCTGCATTCGGTTTGTTTTCTATGTATACTTAATTGGTATATTCCCTGGTTGTGGTTAATTTTCGCTCCATTCTGATTAGTCTAACGCAATTCCTTCTTCTCTATTTCACTGATCCCTACTGTCTTGCCGTTGTTGTTTATTGCTATTGTTGCGAAGTGAGTCGTGGTAACTGGATCCAAGGCTGTTCGGCGCACAAATCACGGTATCACAATCGAAAAACTAATTGTTCGTCGACTTTATCAATCCATTCGACATCATTCCACATTCTTGTCCAAACTGCAGTCATATGGCGTCTCCGTGCCTGCTCTGCGTTGGTTGATGATGGCCATCATCAACTGGAGTAAATCAGCCATTTGAATTGATGCTTCGTTGCCGTACAAACATTATGACCTACAGAGTGAAGAACAATTAGACGGGAAGGACAGGGGTGTAGTATAGAACAAGAAAACCCTAAGCGAACATTCAGGGCCAAAGCACCTACACATTGTCAACGACATGCGGTCACAAACAGCTGGCTAGGGTGCGAACAGAAACGGATTTCACTGCCCGGCCTCATAATCATCCATTACTCCTACGATAACTCAGCACCAAACGCATCATAAACAGTCAGTCCGACTAAGAGACGACACCAAACTCCCCACGGGAGTTGATTGTCAGCCATATTCACAAACTTGGCGAGCCAATCCCAAGGCAGGTCAAGTCGACTCCAGCTTGGAGGGCGAGGCGCGCCAATGGTATGCAGATTTGTAGTCAGTGACTTTATTTCCGGCAACAAATCAATGACTGTGACCTGGCACAGGTAGCACGTGCGTCTGAAAACACAAATTATTCGCCATTGTTGGATGTGCCAAAGAACTGATCTGTATATCTCCGCCAGGGCACATCATCGCTGCCGACATGCTGGTACTATGCAACACTAGCAATGCTTGGATGCAATGATGGTCAGAGAGGAGCTTTAGGTCTTCAGTCCGAAGGGACCAAGTCTCATTACCATGGACTAAGACGTACTTCACCATTGCCTTGAACACATGGCCAGGACATACGGTGATGTTTTAGCCCCTGTCATCGAAAATGAAATTACAGTCCCAGTAGCTCCGTTCTGAAAGGAAGCCAATCTGCTCTCCTAACCCTGGTCGGCAGGTGACCTGCTAAACCACAGGCGTTGGTGCATGACGCAGTGCAGAGACGAGCGTTTGAACTGGAGGTGGTAACATTCTACTTCCGAAAATGGGTATGCAAGGAATAGCTGATGATCTGGATAGTAAGAGCACAACAGACAAATCAGCGGCGCACAAGCATTTGTCCTTTTGATTTGCCCTCAAGCTATTCTACGTAGAGAATATTTTCTCTTTAATATTCGTCCTAAATAGGTTATTATTATAATTAAGACTGGATCCACCGTACGTGGGTACAACAATGATGTTAGGTAAGCCGCATGCCAATGCCAGATTCAGGAAGATGGAGTGAAACGAATACCCAACAAAATTCGAGACGTGTGGTGTGAAAACTACAATCTCGCATAAGCTTTCAATGACCGATGATGCCGATTTCAAAACACCGGTGGACGACCTTCATAAGAATAAACCGAACCGAATATCAGTAAGAAAAAAATGTATGGTGAAAACTCACCTCGTATAGAACCCTGATTTCCTCAAACGGGATAAATGCTTTCGAATTGTTCAATAAAAAGCAGTCGTCTATCTCCTTTATATTATGAGTACATTTTAGATTAGTAATGTTCATCCACGAATCTGGTGGGGTTGTCTAATCGGCATAATGGACAATCGAGAAAGCACTCACGGCTGTATGTGAAGCGTTACCAAGAACAGCAAAACTGAAATAATAGCGAACCCATGATTTACGATGAAGAACATACCACGGCTGAATCTCTCTGTATTTGCTCAGCCACGCCAGCATCATCAGGTTTGCAAAAGCAATGGCACAAAATAAGCGACACCAGAAACTGGCGCCGGTAATTGGTACGACCCCCAGGGGCCCCAAAGCCCGAAATGTGTTAACAATAAGCATCTAAAATATAAGAAAGAGAACGTACAAAATGGGCCTGGAACCAACACTGGTGATACCAACTATATTAACTGTTTGGTTAGTTGACGAACATTGGGGTGCCAAATGGACCAACGCTACCAAATAGTAATAGTAATGAAAACGATAACAATACAAATAATGTATATGCTGGAGTTAACGACACGTGCCCAGTTTTGGAATTGACTAGATTTTTGCAACGGGTTCATAAAATATTTACACCATATTCCAAACACCATGCAGGAATAAAAATCGTGTTTTTGATATCCATGGTTGTCCAGTACAAAGCCATGAAAGGACACAGAATAATGCATGGGGTACTGAAAGAGAGCTCTGTGTACGGATGACAGCAACTACTCTTTTCCTTGTGCAAAAGATGAGGAGTAACTGTGTGGTGATGAGAGAAATATTAAAGTTGAGATTATACTTATAGAGCAAAGCGTCTGGTTTAAGAACGAAACTTGCTATACTTTGTTGCGTTCTAAAAGAGTAGTGAAAGACGATTTTTATTTATTTTAAGTTGAGCAGCTGTACATGTGGCATTCGCAAGATTAGAAATGGGGTAAGAATTAAAACCAGTTCGTACTCACGAGGCTAAAAGTTAAGATAAAACAGTTCATGATCTACGAGTGAAACCGCTACAACCACTGCCTGCCTGCACGTGAGAATACAACACAACAAATCTTGTAGCTTTATAAGTCGCAGACGGTAGCACAATCAACTCCATATCTGCTGCGTACACATAATACATCCCACCCGTAGAACACATTTTCCGGATACCTTTAATCACCCTCAATGCATTGATACTTGGTCTCCCGACAATTGATTTGAGGGATGTTGCCTTCTAGTTTCGATTCACGTAGCCGCAGGCCCGAAATGATAATGGTGGGAAGATGATCGTTTATTCTTTGCGAGCACGAATCTCCAAAAACGCACCCACGGCATCATTACATGCCGCCAACAAGTCTAGGACTAGTCGTGGACGCAGATCGATTACACTGTGACCAATCGTCGTTGGAAAGGTTGTGTGTAAAACTGCCGCTCTATATGGAGTACAAGTGTGGGCTCGTACACCACTTGTGGGTGCCGATCTACGTGAGCGTTACGCGAACGCCCGCGACGACACAGCAAGCTCAAAAAAACAAAACCCAACTGGTAGAAAAATGTTCTGAATGCGTAGAAATACACTAGCATTCACTCATTATCATCATAATCAACAGCAGCACATCAGCCATTTGAACTGATGCTTCGCTGCCATACAACCATGAGGACCAATGAAATAAAGAATAAGAAGAGGGAGAGAAGAGGGACTTACCTAATAACCTTAATGCCCTAAGCAAACATTCAGGGTAAAGGCGCCTACACCTTGGGTTAACAACATTCCGTCACAAACAGCTGGCTATTGTGCAAAGATAAGGCGGCATCGGCGAGACAGCTTCCTTGCGGCTTTCACTGCCACGCGTCATAATCAGCCATTACCCAGCAGATAACTCAGCACCAAACATACTTTAAACTGACAATCCGATTAGGAGACGGCAGCAGATACGCCACTGGTGTCGGTTGCGAGCCATGTCCTGTAAAGTCTAGAGCCAAGCACAAGGTGAGTCACGTGGACTCAAACCCGGAAGGCGAGACGGACCAACGGCACCCAGTGTGTTTGTCAGTGACTTCATTTCCTGCTTCCAAGTCAACTTCTGTCCACCTCGAGCCTTGCGCCATCCTACACCTGGTAGACTGAACAAGGTTCTCTTGGTAAGCGGTGAGCAGGCATACGTAGCACGTGCCCAAGCCAACGCAACGTATTCTGTGCAAGCTGTTGTTCTAGGGTGCTAGCATGATCATCACCACCTAGTACTCGCCTACGCACATCATCGTTGCGGACACGCTGGTGCCATTCGACACCAGCAATGCTTCGCAAACAACGATGATCAAAGATTTGAAGGCGCCTCAGATCTTCAGACCGAAGGGGCCAAGTTTCACTACCATACAGCAGAACGGCCCTCACTGTGGCCTTGTATACACGGCCTTTCAGACGGAGGGAAACTCCCTTCTGTCGCCAAAGATGACGCAGGTTCAAGAAGGCAGCTCTGGCCTTTGCAATGCGTGAGCTCACGTCAGTTTCTATGCGCCCATCATTGCTGATGCGGCTGCCAAGATAAGTGAATAGATCAACCACTTTGAGTTCCTCGTTAGCAAGCGTCAAGGGGTCATCAAGTGGCGGGTGGTCCTGCAGCAACACTTTGCACTTTGGAGGTGCGAAGTGCATACCAAATAATGGGACCACTCTGGACAGGCTATTCAGGGTTGATTGTGCCGCCGCAACATCGTCAAAAAAGCAAGACGATATCGTCCGCATAATCTAGGTCAACTAACCATTCACCAGGCAACACTTCAACGCCTACATCGTGAGATTCCGTCAGGGAACACTCCATGATAGAATCCACGACGAAATTTAACAAAAACGGGGAAATCGGCCAAACTTGATGAACGCCACTTGTGGTCGGAAAGCTATCCGATAGGACACCATAGACCCTGACGCGCCCTGTAGTGTTCGAGTATAGAGCACGAATGATGTTCACATATTTCGTGGGGACACCTTTCCGCGCAAGTATTTCGAACAGAATCGATCGATCGACTGAATCGAACGCACTATTGAAATCGAGGAACACAGCTATTGTCGGTCTGCGGTATGCGTGCCGTTGCTCTAGCACCTGCCGCAAAGTTAATATATGGTCTATACAACCACGTCCTGGGCGAAAACCGGCCTGCTCTTCCCCAATCCGAGATTCCCGTTCTGCAGTGAGGCGACGAACGATAATCGAGGCCAGTAATTTTGTCACAACTGGCGTTAGGATAACATCCCTGCGGTTCGCACATTCCGTGCGACTGCGCTTTTCGTATAATGCCACTATAATCGATTCGCTCCAATTAGCCGGCACACTCTTCACTTCAGATACGTTCGATTAGGGAGGTCAGTGCTTTGCAGAGGACCTCACCTCCATCCTTAAATAGTGCAGGTGGGAGGGAATCCGGGCCAGCCGCACGAAAACATTAAGGGCTGTGATCGCGTTTCGGACCTCGGCCTCCGACGGAGGCTCTAAACTAACCGTCCATGGTACGTCCTGCCTCACCTAAGTAGGAAGAGGTCCGGGAGCAGAAGGCCAGCTGAACTGATCTTCAAAGTGTTCCGCCCAACGAGCCATACGGCGCTCCTTATTGTGTATCAGCGCGCCCGCACTGTCTCTGATCGTCTCACTGACGCCTGGTTTTCTGGGACCAGTGGGGCGGATTAGCTGGAAGAGCTTCTGGTAATTGCCTACTGCTTCTGCCTCCTCCATTTCTTGAGCCCGACTGGTCCACCAGGCTTCCTTATCAGCACGTAGGCTCCGCTTTAGTTCACGCCTAATAGCCCGTCTGGTCACATTGTGGTCAGAACCAGCCGCGAGGTGTCTTCTAGCTTCCAACAGGTTCACCGACCTCTCGGATATCCAGTGACTTGTGCGGTGACGATGGATAGTGCCACAAGCAGATGTTCCTGCGTCGTGCATGGCACCGGAGATCTTATTCCACTGAAGTTCAGTGTAATTAGGACAAGACAGCGAGAGTTCGGTATGCAGTGCTTCTTGATAGGCTTGCCTGACCGAGGGCTGGGACAATTTCTCCGTTGCCAATCGGGGGAGACGCTTTGTGTGCCACATGGAGAAACGAAAGCGTATAAGGGCATGATCAGAGTCGACATAGGTACCCCAGTACGAGCGGCAATCCAGAATGGAACCGCGCCACCTGTAACTTATGGCTATGTGGTCAATTTGGGTCCATCGCTGGCCAGCTACAGGTGGACGCCAAGTGGCACTTCGGCGCCCACTGTGTCTAAAAGCAGTCCTAGTAAGAAACAAATGGTGCTCCGCACACAGTTGCAGCAGACGCTCACCGTTGTCAGTCCGTTAGGAGTTAAGCCCACAATTACCACCCAGCTGAGCTTCCGAAGAGCTCAGACGCCCTACTTGTGCGTCCATATCCCCTCCAAATACTATAATATCCGAACTAGTAGCACTGCGTAGTAGGGCGTTCAGTTCGTGATAGAAAGTGTCCTTGACTGCATTAGCACTCCAGTCGGTGGGAGCATAAACGGAAATCACAAACAAACAGCGTTTTGTACAACCCCGTGAAACCGCCTTAGCTGATGTCGTCAAACGGGCTACACATAAACGGCTGTTCACCGGAATCCAATCAACCAACGATGGCTCAGCCTTGGAGCTGAGAATGATACCTACACCAGCTTGACCCGTGAGTGCCGCATCGGCGTCTCCGGATGCGTGCAACCAATAACGAGAGGATAAGCCGGGTGCAGTCAATTCAATAACCCCGTTAGGGTCATTGATCCTAGTTTCGGACACACAACACATATTAACACCCAGTGTGTCCAAGGTACGCGCGAGTGCAGCCTGCTGACCTGTTTGTCTTAGAGTGCGGACGTCGAATGTCGGCATGGAAACGGGACAGCGTGGCCTTATAAGGGACTTTTGCGGATAGGCGTCCGATAGGTGCTGTGAGATGGTGGCTGCAGATGGTTCTACTCCAATAGCACTTCGGTTGCTGTCAATTAAGCTGGGAATTACAGAAGGAAGGTTAGTAATGGGGGCCGGGATGGGAGTAAGAGAAAAAGGTGGAAAAGAAAGAAGGGAGGCGCCAGCAGTAGCATCTTTTCGCTTATCCGTCCTGCTGTATGCAGCAGATAAGGTGACCCTTGATAATCTGCGCGACGGCCGATGCAGGATGAAGTTTATGTTTGAAGAAAATGTCATGGTTGTGTGTGGGCTGGGATACTGCCAGGGCGCCCAGACCTAGACATGAGGACGATTAGGGTCCTCATCCAAAGCCTTTGGCTCAAAAGTCTGTCCGCAAGGCAGCGGAGTGGCAGTGATTTAGTTTAACAGAAATGGACGCCATCCCATTTCAAACCCCCAACCTGGAGGACCAGGAGAC